TTCTTTTTTCGGGGGAAGTCCCCCCCCCCCCCACACATACATTAGCGTTGGTGAAGCAGCGAGTCACGCCACAGTGAAGAATTGCTCAGCGGGGATTTTCGGGCTATGGATTATCTGGGAGTTGTCACTCCGTGATGTCATCCTATTGGCAGCCTCTTCGCTGGAAGATGGCCACACACGTGTCAATAGGATCAGTCAGCCAATCATTTGATCGAATTGATTGGGAATTATAAACGACACGCCCTCCATTCCATCTATGTAGTGATTTCAGTGACAGGCAGCCGATCAGCTGAAGGGGAATTTTATAGATCGCTTCTGATCGATCAAACGAATATCGGCTTGTGGGCGGCGGTGCGGTTTAACGCCCCTCTGAAAAGCGGTCCAAGGTGAATTCCTTTGCAGGTTCTGATACCGCCACCTCCTGAATTGCCTGTTTTTTCCCGATCCCAAGTGGGAAGTTGCATTGCAATACCGTACCGCATCCGGGTCAGACCCATTGACCTCAATGGGCGTGTTTGGCAAGCGCCACCACCTGCCAAAGGTGACATGATGAGTGAAACCTTTCCCACACCACAAAGTGAGGAATTGCCGCCACGGCAATGTATATTGTCCCGGGCAGCTGCCATGTTTTTTTATAGATAGACAATGGAGAGTAGAAGGAGTACCCCAAAAACATGCAAACTCCATGCAGATACTGGCTGTGATTTGAACCTGCAAACTCCACACAGGTACTGGCTGTGATTTGAACCTGCAAACTCCACACAGGTACTGGCTGTGATTTGAAGCGAGGACCCCAGTCCTACAAGGAAGGCATGCAAACCACTAAGCCACTGCTCTGCTGCCTAGTGTTCATTCTTCCTCATATCTCATTAATACTGATCTCCTGTAGCCGCTTCCTCTCTATAGGCCCTCGCTCCATCTGTGACTTCACATCATTTCTCGGGGTTTGTTTCTGCAACAAAGGACCGCGCCTGTAAAATGTGTGTGTGTACTGGCCACTTGTAGTCTCCATTAGCAGAGCCTGTGATGGGGTGACAACGCAGGAGTGTAATTCGGAGACAGGGACAGAGTGTTGTCACCTTATAACAGGAAGCGTCTGACCCTCATGGCAGGACCACCAGAGATCATTCCAATGAAAGCTGCAGATTTTGACATATGAATAAAATGGCTTCTGAGGTGACGGTTACCTTTATGGTGAAGCTCATGTGAGAGTTTAGTGATGGAGTTTACATTTGCTGTAAAGCTGATATAAAACAGCAAATCATCCAGACGGCGAGGATTCCGGAACACACGATGACCAAACCTGTTATACAGCAAAACTCTCACAAGAGAAACATTGAGGAGTTCAGTCCTTCCAATAGGGAATGGCGTTTCAGCACCATGGACAGCAGCTATAGACAGGGAATGGACAGAGCTCAGTGTGCTGTCATCTTCAGGAAGACTCAGTGATGACATTCTTCACAGCGCACCGTCCCTTTAAAACTGGACTCCGGGATCAGCAAACATTGTCCTCGTACAAGAGCCCTGTGTATTCTTCCTTCAGTCTCTGTGAGCTGTGTGTATTTCTTCCACATCTGTGCAGTAATCCAGTGTGAGACTTCCTGTAATAAAGACCGCTCATTGCTGCTCTCCCTCCTTGTGCAGGGTGACTGGTCTTGTCTCCGCCCCCTCCTGTAATAAAGACCGCTCACTGCTGCCCTCTCTCCTTGTGCAGGGTGACTGGTCTTGTCTCCGCCCCCTCCTGTAATAAAGACCGCTCACTGCTGCCCTCTCTCCTTGTGCAGGGTGACTGGTCTTGTCTCCGCCCCCTCCTGTAATAAAGACCGCTCACTGCTGCCCTCTCTCCTTGTGCAGGGTGACTGGTCTTGTCTCCGCCCCCTCCTGTAATAAAGACCGCTCACTGCTGCCCTCTCTCCTTGTGCAGGGTGACTGGTCTTGTCTCCGCCCCCTCCTGTAATAAAGACCGCTCACTGCTGCCCTCTCTCCTTGTGCAGGGTGACTGGTCTTGTCTCCGCCCCCTCCTGTAATAAAGACCGCTCACTGCTGCTCTCTCTCTATGTGCATGGGGGCTGGTCTTGTCTCCGCCCCCTTCCTTTGATAAAGACCGGTCACTGCTGCTCTCTCTCCTTTTCTCCCCAGCCTTTGACCCGGCCCTTTCATTCATTGGATTTTAGTTCTTTCAATCACAGAGACTCAGCATCACATGTGGGTGGTCGCTAGTGTGGTCTGCATGCAAATGCAGCCACCTAGGAACACGCACTCCTCCAGACTGACATCCACCTATCAAGTTATTTTGATCTTTGCATAACTCCTCCCAAAAAACAGATCACTGCTTCTATCAGGGCCGAGGGCTCTTGAGAGGAGTATTGAGACAGTCTCTGTGCTTCTCTATACAATGCAGGCAGATCATGGCTGGTATTAGTATATTGAGGGGGGAGGGGGGTGGGGGGTTCTGGACCAGAGGAGGAGAAATATTAGCAGATTACTTTAAGTAATTCTGTTTCAGGGTGACTCTACAGCTGGCAGGTTTAAAGGAGAACTATGGGGTCAGGGCTTGTCCCCATAGTTCTCCTTAGGGTAACGGGAGGACACAAACTAAGAACGCTGGTATGTGTTCGCTCACCTCCCGATCTACTGAGCCGACCTGTGACAGTCTCATTGTCACAGGTCGGCTAGAACTATGAGGTCAGTGAAAAGCACTCGCCTCATAGTTCTCCTTTAACTGATATTATTAGGCTTCCTGAGAATATATAAATATGATGATTATTTTTACTAGGCAAGCCAACAGAATTCCGATCCTTTAATAAGACAATGTCACCCGGCCTATTCAGGGGCAGCACCCAGCATGAAAATCCACTGGCATCAAACACTAGGGGCAGCGGTGACATCACGCTTTCTGTACTCAAGCTGTGATTGGCTGCTGGACCTGTCACATGTCTCCCATACCCAGAAGACAGAACTGTCGCTTTGCCCCGAATAGCAAGGTGACAACTTCTCCTTAAGACTTTCAGATTCTCGCATAAGCTTAATTGTGACTGGTTCTCTTTAAACATCACACACTCATAAAACACTTCATACTGGGTTGTGTATCGGCGCTGGTAATCTCCTGCAGCCTCCTAACAGCCTCTTCCTGTCCACATGCACTCCAGCAATTGCTGCCTGTCATTTCTCTGGGCGGGTTTCATGATGGTGGACCATCCCATGGTGTAATGAGGGCTAGAATGGCCACTTGTGGTCTCCATTAGAAGCCCTAGAGAGACAGGGTGGCAATTTAGGAGGATAAGGGGGAGACTAGGAGAGAGGGTTGTCACCCTACAACAGGAAATGCCTGAACAAGGACCCGCGTGGCAGGATCACCAAGTATTATTTTAATGGAAGCTGCAAATTGTGATTGGGATTTACACATATGTTAAACACTAATAAACATGTATTTGTTGTTGCTTCTCCACAGCTGTCAACATGTCTAACTCAACCAACGGAGACACTAAGGCCCAGTGCTTACCCCGCAACGGGCTGGTGAAGATCCCCGGTCCCACCAATGGCCTGGGCTCTGCCAGCATTACCAAAGGAACACCAGCCGTCAAGAACCGAATTTGCCAGCCCGCCTCAGTGCCATCCATTTTAAGTCAAGCCTTCCCCAAGAACACAGAGCATGTCAACCCTTCAGTGTTACCCATTTTGCCCCCACCCCCGACCCACAGCATCCCTCTGGGTCTCAGCCCTGGAGAAGAGAACCCCCCCAACCCTTGCGGCCTCTCCATGGACAGGATCCTGAACCAGGGCATGGACTGTCACCTGGCCCTCGACGAAAAGATCCTCAACCGGCTCTTCTGTTACTTCTCGGCCTGTGAGAAATGCGTCCTTGCGCAGGTCTCCAAGACGTGGAGGCGGGTCCTGTACCAGCCGAAGTTCTGGGTTGGACTGGCCCCCGTTCTTCACGCCAAGGAACTGTACAATATGCTGCCCACGGGGGAGAAGGAGTTTGTCAGTCTGCAGGGGTTCGCGGTGCGCGGGTTTGACTCATTCTGTTTGGTTGGGGTTTCAGACCTGGACATCTGTGAGTTCATTGACAACTATCCCCTGTCCAAGAAAGGGGTGAAGTCTATAAGTCTGAAGAGGTCAACGATCACCGACGCTGGCTTGGAGGTGAGGAGCCTTTGACATAAATTGGGGGATGTTCATAACATGAGAGGGAGGAATATGAAGGTGTCTACCGTGTTTGGTTACTTCCCTTCATCACGAGGTCATTGGTGGCCAGATCTACGTTCCTTCAGATCATGGCTAACTTAACTGGTTTATACATATTGGTTTATAAATGGAGGGTTGGGTTTATCTTCAGGCCTCATTCACACAGCGTATAGTCAGGCTGTACAGATCTGTGGGGCATGCACGATCGTATCGTGCCGTTCCCGGGAGGGACAGGTGCTGTGTGTGATTGCAGGCCGCAGCCTGTTCTTCCCTATGGGAGGACGTGAACGTACGCTGTCATACGCACACCCGTGCAGGTCCGGGTGTCTGTGCTCAGATGCAGACAGGATCCATCCTGCCTGCATCCGAGTACGGACAGCCGCATACAGCCGCGTCCTCCCGTAGGAAAGAACCGGTCTGTCGCGTGCAATCACACGCAGCACCTGTCCCTCCCAGGAACGGCCCGATACGGCCGTGCACGCCCCACAGATCTGTACAGCCCGACTTTACGCCTTAGGCCTCATTTACACACAACGCAGAAGCAAAATTGTACACATATAGATGTGTATGTATGTGCGTACATGTGTGAACTGTATGCAATCCCAGAATGCATCATTTTTAACAGAAACTTTAATGTGCTGTATGCACGCATATGCACGCACATACGCTAATACAAGCCCAGACGCATCTCAGTTCCATTTTTTTTGCGCATCTTTACTCGAAAATACGGCTCCATACGGAGCTATGTGTATGGAGCCATTTATTTGCATATGGGTAAAAAACGATGCTCACGTCTGCGCGCAGCGTACTATACGGCAATGTGAATGAGACCTTACGGTCACCATTATTGTTAGGTTTTCTCTGTTAGTCAATATCTAACATCACGCTCCCAGCTAACAAGGAGATGTATTATCACACAACAACAAGTCTAATGTCTGTGAAGGTTCTCATTCATCCAGGTCACATGGTACATCTGTAAGAAATAAGTCAAGGCAACTGGACTTGCCGTATTTTTTTTTTTTTAAGACGCTTCACCGGTCATCCAACCAGCTTTCTCAATTCAGAATGACTTGTACAAAGACCGTTCCCAGAGAATTTTTGTACAAGTCCTTCTGAATTGAGAATGCTGGTCGGATCACCGGTGAAACGTCTTTTTAAAAAAATACAGCGAGTCCAGTTGCCTTGACTTATTTCTTACAGATATAGTTGAAATGAGCGCCTCTATCCCTCAGGAGCCTTAATGGACGAATATACTAAAACAATACTTGGGCATGTAAAGATTTGTTAGCACAATGCCATCTTGGAGGCGGGGTGCATAACGTCACATGATGCCACATCATGGGAGACGTTATTCGCAGAACATGTGGCGGCCAGGTCGGCTGCCAGCGTGTTCTGCGCATGCACGCCGCCATTTCGGAGTATATCTTGGTATATACCAAACTGGTGGTGCTCATATATTCGGGTGCCGCCATCTTGGTGAACACCAAGATATACTCCAAAATGCCAGCACACATGCACAGAACGCGCTGGAGGCCGATGCGGCCGCCGCTCGTTCTGCACTTTCTTTGTTCGGATTCTGAGGCTCGTGGCCTCCGAATCCGAAACATTAAAATTCGTTTCTATTGATGAAACAAGTGAAAATGTTTTTCCTTTTCATTTCTTTCGTCCAAAACTTCGTCCAACAATTTTTTTTTTTGCCGTGCACATGTCTAATATCTATCGTAACTGGAGATCCTCCTTAAAGTGGTGGTAATATGTCCTCTGCACTCCATACCAATAGATCCATTTAGTTGGGTGCTGGAACAACTGGTGTATGGTGCCACAGCATGCTAATAAAAGATATGATGTCCGCACCTTAAGCCCTCGTTCACACTGTAATTGGCCGGCACGTACAGCTCCGTGCTGTGTACACGGCCGTATCGGGCAGCTCCCGGGAAGGACAGGTGCTGCGTGTGATTAGTACGTAGCCCCCGTCCTTCTCTATGGGACTACGCGGCCGTACGCCCCCCTACACTCACCTCAAGTGCAGGTCTGTACGGGTGCGTATTTCCTGGCTCGGAGGCAGACAGGATCCGTCCTGTCAGCGTACGAGTACACTCACCAGCACCCGTACAGATGTGCAGGTCGGGTGAGCGTAGGGGGGCGTACGGCCGCGTACTCCCACAGAGTGCCTGGGAGCTGCCCGATACCACCCTGCACGGAGCTGTACGTGCCGGCCGATTACACTGTGAATGAGGCTAAAAGCTTCCAAAGCGGAACTATGTTTAAAGTGGACCTGTTATGATTCCACAGGGCGTAGTCATTATTACCAAATATTGGTAATATACTGCAGAGAAGGACATGTGCTCTCTGTGTAGAAGCAGTGGTCTCTCTGCAGAGGCCTTAGGTGCTCTATGCTGAGTCAGAGCTAGAACTCTGCAATGAGCAAAACACCTGCTCTCTGCTGATTGGAGGGCTCTGACTCTGACTCACCAGGGGGCATGTCAGACTTCTTCAGAGAGATTGCTGCTTCCACACAAAGACCATGGGTTCTTCCCAGCAGCATGCTGGCAAAGGACGGGCTTTTCTACTCTAAAAAAGCACACTGTAAGGCCTTGTACTCCTTTTGGTTGGAATTACCTGGCATGCGATGAGTTGAACGGAAGGTTGAGCTGGGCTTTGGGTCTGAATGTGTGTCTTTGTTTCCATCCAGGTGATGCTGGAGCAGATGCAGGGCGTTGTAAGATTAGAGCTCTCGGGATGTAACGATTTCACAGAAGCTGGTTTGTGGTCCAGCTTACACGGACGCATCACCTCCCTAAGCGTCAGCGACTGCATCAACGTGGCGGACGACGCGGTGGCGGCCATCTCCCAGCTCCTCCCCAATCTGGGCGAGCTGAACCTCCAGGCTTACCACGTCACGGACACCGCCTTGGCTTACTTTACTGCCAAACAGGGCCGGGCCACGCACACGCTGCGCCTTCACTCCTGCTGGGAGATCACCAACCATGGTGTGGTCAACGTGGTCCACAGCCTGCCCAACCTCAGCGTCCTCAGCCTGTCCGGCTGCTCCAAAGTGACCGATGACGGGGTGGAGCTGGTGGCCGAGAACCTGAGAAGGCTCCGAGGACTGGACCTGTCGTGGTGCCCCAGGCTGACAGACACGGCACTGGAGTACATCGCCTGCGACCTGCACAAGCTGGAGGAACTGGTCCTTGACAGGTAGGTGTGGAACGCCACAGGGTGGCGATGAAAGTTACGTGTCACCCCGGTATTCTAAATCTGATGGAAGGTATTCAAGATGGCAGAGCTAACGTAAAGTGAGACCTGTTCTTTGTATCTTAAAGTAAACCTGGAACAAAGGAAATTTCGTTTGCTAGAGATCTACGTATCATACACATTTCCCTTTCTATCATAAATCCTTGTTTTCACATTTTTCATCCAGAATACAGAAAAACTGAACTTTTTTTGGCAGCCGAGGTGTTTCAACTATTCCTGTGTTTGCTGCTAGACATGCGATTCGCTTCGTTCCAAATCAAAATTCGGACGGATTTTCAGAAATTCGGACACATCTGAATTTCCAAATCCCAATGCGTCCGAATCCGAATTTCCGTTTCCGAATTTCGGATCCCGTCCGAATTTTGTTCAAAAATGAAATTGAATCGGACATGTGACTTTTCTGGCCAATCAGATGTGTTTTTCGGTTTAATGCATGGGTCTGAACACAAATTTTCCTTACAGCAACATAGGAGCCATATACAGTATATACATATAATACTAAAGCTGAGGCTCCCAGACCCAAATGGCTTTAGGGATCCGAATTTCTAAATTGAATCGGGAGTTCCTGAATGCCATTTGGGTCTGGGAGCCTCAGCTTTAGTAATATATGTATATGGCTCCCAGATCCGAATGGCATTCAGGAACTCCCGAATTCAATTTAGAAATTTGGATCCCTAATGCCATTCAGGTCTGGGAGATTCAGCTTTAGTATTAATACCTGTATATGGGTTTCCGTGGTATTCGCAACAAATATTCGTAAACTCATCCGAAACTAAGGAAAATTCAGATTTCGTCCGAAGCCGAAACCCGAACCGAATTGAATTTTGGATCCGAATTCCGAAATAACGAAATATCAGAACCAAATTTTTCCGCAGCTTCTATTTGCTGCATCACAGCCATCTATTTCCATTTTTCAGCATGGATTAGGGAAAGGGACAATGTGATTGGTTGCTGTGGACCAACACAAACCCTATGAGGAAGGATGGCCTTCTTACACAATCAGAATGACATTTAAAGTGACACTAAACTTATTCAAGTACCTTAAGTATTAATAAAAATTTATCTTATTTGTGTATCACTCGTCTGTAGATCCTCCAATCATCTCTGAATTGGTGCTGAAGCTGTCCTTCCATCTGGAGAGGGGCTACTTTTGTTCCCCATGGTCCCTGTGTGTGTTGTAAAGTAGTCACCGCTCCAAGCTCACTCCCGGGATGGACTACAATCTCATGTTTAGTTTACGGATTTGTATTGAAATTGTAGTCCATCACAGGAGCAAGCTTGGAGCGGTGACTACTTTACAACACACACAGGGACCATGGGGAACAAAAGTAGCCGCCCTCCAGAAGGAAGGACAGTGTCAGCACCAATTCAGAGATGATTGGAGGATCTACAGCCGAGTGATACACAAATAAGAGATATTTTTGTTAACAGTTATGGTACTTGAATGTATTTTTAAGATTTATTTCTTGAGTTAGTGTCACTTTGAAGTTGGAAGTGTGGTAAGGAGCACCTACTGCAAAAATTCATCTTGCTTGGTAGTTTGTTTGAAATAGTTATTGATTAAGAATGTCGGCTAACGCATTTCAGAGGACAGGTCTCACCCTTCTTCAGGGCTTGCACAAACTCTTTAGCGCTTAGAACAGAAGAGATCAGAAGCCTAGATTAGGGCTAAAGAGGGGGGAAATCTTTAACCCTTTCGTGAATAACCCTGTAAATATTTTACTTAAACTAGGCACTTCGCACCACATATCCATGAATTGACCATCTGATGAGCGATTCATCCATCTTGATCCGAGAGGTAGCAGCCTAGCCAGGTCCACAAACACCAAGTTGGATGAAAGAGATCCTTTCCAAGGGCTGGCAGATGCCTCCAATGGGGCTCCCAATACTCATTCCTAGCGCTCATGTGCCCCCGTAGAACCAAGCACTAAAAGAGTGTATTGAGATGAATGGCGCTGTACAAACAGGTTTTGCAGAAGATACATTTGTTTCTTTATATCCCCGGACCCCGGCATCGGAAATGATGTCCAGGACAATACAATATAATCCTCTGTATTATCCTTTTAGCTTATGCTGACTTCTCTCTGCAGGTGCGTCCGGATTACAGATACAGGACTGAGTTACCTGTCCACCATGACATCGCTCCGAAACCTGTACCTACGTTGGTGCTGCCAGGTGAGAAGATGGCCACAAGATGGCAGCAATCCTGCCCTGAGCAGGAAGGACATCTTATAAATGAGAGATGGATGGATGGGTAGATAGATGGATGGATGGGTAGATGGATGGATGGGTAGATGGATGGATGGGTGGGTAGATGGGTAGATGGATGGATGGATGGGTAGATGGATGGATGGATGGGTAGATGGATGGATCGACAGACAGATAGAAAGATGCGTTTAGATTTAGATTGAGGTTCTTTAAAAAGAGATTTAAGGTACTAAATGATCCCATTTTTTGCTTTCTTCTCAGTTGCAGGATTTTGGTCTGAAACATTTACTGTGTATGAAAAGTTTACGACTCTTATCTTTGGCAGGTGAGTAGAATACTATTCTGTGTTGAATAAAGCAGACCTGTAGGTAATGGCTATATTAGAGTATGTACATGTGGGCTCCCTCCCTGTGTCTGTAGATCTGTATTAGAGCATGTACATCTGCGCTCCCTTCCTGTGTCTGTTGGTAGGGCAGAGGAGGAGGAACGGGGCAGGCAGAGGAGGAGGAACAGGGCAGGCAGAGGAGGAAGAACAGGGCGGGCAGAGGAGGAAGAAAGGGGCGGGCAGAGGAGGAGGAACAATGCAGCAGCGGAGGTACGACGGGAGGCAGGGAGAGATTGCAGAGTCACCGCAGTCTCTTCTCCCTGTTGGTGCAGCTGCAGTGGTCTGTGTCCCACTGCCTCTGCTGATACAGGCGGGGATTAAAAGGGACACAGATCGCTGCAGCCAGCACCAGCGGGGAGGAGAACAGAGGAGCAGAGCAAGTTAACGGCAACTAATCGAAAATCAACTAATCGATGATGAGAATCGTTGCCAACAATTCTCATTATCGATTTTAATCGATTAGTTGTTGCAGCCCTAGATCTGCATGGTGCTGACTTATTTCAGAGACAGGCCTAGGTTTGGACAATTCTAGAACCCTTGCTAACATACCAAGTACTCTGCTTATCTTGTTTCAGGTTGCCCATTGTTGACAACCACCGGCCTTTCGGGCCTCGTTCAACTACAGGATCTAGAAGAACTGGAACTCACCAACTGCCCCGGTGCCACACCTGAACTCTTCAAGTATTTCTCCCAGCACCTGCCCCGCTGTGTCGTGATCGAATAAGATGCAGGAGCTGACCTTTAGAACCGTATTCTCCGAAAACCATTCCCAGCACCGACCATCTGATCGGAGACTTTGGCAGTAGGGGTGGTGGGCTGACACAGCCGAACCATCGATTTGTTGACAAGCAAGGAGAGCAAGTTCCTGGGAGATATTTTACACTCCGGTTTGTGAAGACCTCATTCCATGTCCCGAAGAAAAAAAAAAAAAAGGGTTGTATATTTCCCACACCTCATCTATTGTCTTTTCTGTCGTGGACTGTTATGAAACTCACAAGTAGAGCCGGCTCCCATCCGAATAAAAAAAAAAACATCAGCGTACTCTACAAGGATTCTATGGTGTGAGGTTGAGTCCAGCTCATTGTGGAATGTTGCTTCAAGTTCAGTGGTGGTCCTTCATGTTTTGGTTCCCGATGATTCAGAAGATTTTTATCTTAGATAGTCTGTTCCGGAGCATTCATTGATTCTGGTTTTTGTTGATGTCCTCAGTTTGGAGCCATCACAGATGACGAGATTTACAGAAGAACAAAGAAATACATGAAAAAGAATTCTTCGCAGGAGGCACTGGCGTCCAAGTATGTGCTTCTTAGAAAGTAGGACAAGTTCAAAGAAGGTTCTGCATGGCTGTAGAAAAAGTCTCAACGCTATCATATGGCTTGCATCGAGATGGAGGGATTAAGTCGATCCATAGAAACCCTTCCTAGAACACAATCCCGTTTTGACTTTTTTACACCTCGTCGCCCTGTTTTCTCTATGGTGTAAACATTTCAGCATTTGACCGTCGCTTCTTCTAGTTCAGAGTTTCTATATTTTTCCTATAGGCGTAAACCTCACAATAGCTTTCTTGGCATGAGTGCAGTCATGCTGTTTATAAGGTGGCGGTGGTAGGCAACACGAGAACGTTGGCGAATGCATTTATTATGGCCAACATGTTGGCGGAATGGAAAAGAAATGCCATATTGCATCACATTCAGCTGCATATTTTCTACCCATGACACTGGTCGGTCATGAGCTGCCTTGAGTGGTCATCCTTTTGGTATCTGGATCCATAACGAAGCCATCCAGTTGGAAAACAAAGAGTAGGGTAGACTCAGAGATATGGTGGGACCATTGACCAGAACGTCTTCTGGAAAGAAATCGCCTTGTACAAACCTTTTGCTTCGACGGAGGATTCTTTCCTCTCTTGTACATCTTCCCGGCTTGCCCTAGTGCCTGTACATTACTGCTTGTGCTCACTTCACTGCTTTCACTGAGACCAGAAGATGGAGGACATTCAAATTGCATTACTTCCATCCATGGCCTGTGCCCTCAGCTTACCAGGGAGAAGCAGTGTGGTCTTTTCTTTTTTTTTGTACGGCGTTTGTGATTTTGGACGCCTTTGTCCCAAGTTCACTGGAACTGTGAGATGTCACACAACGATGTGATAGTTTAAAGGATGTTTCAGGGGTAAAAGGCCATCTATAGCCAAACCTGGTATTTCAGTTTTGTGTAGTTGCTGGCAAAGTGGCAAGGTGAACCTCGGGCAGGCTTATTCTATTTGAGGGACTCCAGTGCTTAAGAGTTCCAAGGCATGTTCAACTAAAACAACCATTGCAAAGACAAATAATGACACAACATGCCCACCAGTAGATGATCAATAACATAGAATAAACCAATCATCAGTAGGTCCGACCTGTGAGAAAGCGAGACCTTTATTGTGGGGATGGGCTGAGACACAAACAACTGCGGCGGACCTCTTGCTATTGGAGTCTCCCAGAGATCTTATGTAACTGGTAGAAAGTCACTCGCACTCCAATTCAGATTAAAGTCAGTCTTCTTTATTGACCATGATAGTGTCAGATTGCTCAGCAACGTTTCGGGACCATGTGTGGAGGCATCTGCAGTCACTCCGGCACCCACCCGTCCTTGGGTTTTCCGGTCAGGAGTGCGATGGCATCTACTATGTATTGAGTCCCGGAGATCTTAGACACAAGTGGGCAACTCAAGGAACCAATGCACAAAACAATGCATGAAACTGAAATGTCGTTTTTGGGTGATGGTCTTCAAGATACAATCAGATCATCCTTCATCGTCCCTTCTCATGTACCTATTTCTGTCCATCTCTTCCAGAGGGTCTCCTTATCTATTGATCTTCTCCTTTCCCTATCTCTCTCTCTCTCTCTCATGTAACATGATCTATGAATCTCTATGTACGTGTCCCATGATCGCTGCCTTGCATGTTTCTTTCCTTTTTTTGTCTCTTTTTCAACTCTTCCCACTTCTGGAGAGCACCGTCTTTGGAACAATCTTGTGCTGTTTTTTCACCATGCTTTAAATATAATAAAATATATCACACTTCAAAGTTTTCATCCAGAGAAAAACAACCCAGTCCATTTTTGCTTCAGTGCATTGTGATTTTTTTTATTTTTTTTAAAGTCTTCTCAACTTTTGGGAGGACGGAAACAAAGATGGGAGTGTTAGTCAATGAGATGCCGTTATTCAGAGCTATGTGTCAAAGTGAAATTGAGCATTTTCATTCAACATCTAGAGAAGAGATGCTCTGTGAATGAAAGGAAAGGGTGTGGTTAGCCATTGGAGTGTCTGGTTTGATTGATTGCCCCAGTTTGCAACTTATTCTAGGAGCAGTTTCCTTCTATGCATAGAGGGTATACTTTGGAGACCCCTGACCAGTGCTGTATTTTGATTTTGTGCTGCCCTAGGCAAGACTAGATTCAGGCACCCCTCCCCAATCTAAATTTGCCCCAGCATTTCCTGTTTAAGATATTTTGTATTTGTCAGTCACTGGATACAGTGTGCACGTTGTATCCAGCTTCTGACAGGTTGTGCTATTAGCAGTACAGAATGCCACCAGCTATTAAGGAGTACAAAACCCAGCAATACATTATACAGCAATGCAGAATAATATGAAGCTACATACATGTGTTGCCCCGGGTTGGCGGCCTGATGTCTCCATGGTCTTACGTGGGCTGTGTGGGCTCTCAGGAGGCTGTGCAGGGTCTCGTGTGGGCTGTCAGGTGGCTGTGTGGCGTCTCAGGTGGGCTGTGCAGAGTCTTAGGAGGGCTGTGTGGGGTCTATGTATGGCTGTGCGGGGTCTTAGGAGGGCTGTGTTAAACTTACCAGGGGTCTGGAGGCTCTTGTGGTTGGGTATGGGCAACATGGTTCCCCAGGAAGGAGGAAATATGCGGCTGGCACTGTAAGCAGTCCTGCGAGGTCTCCAGATGGCTGCCGTGAGGTATCCAGCAAGCATGGGACCTTATGGCAGCTGCTTGTATTTAAAAATTTAAAGCGCCGGTATTGTGCATTTTCAATGGTACGAGTACTTGTGAAAATGCCTAGTATTGGCACCAATACTGGTATTGGTGCCAATAGTGGTAATGGCAGGATGAGGCTCAGTCTCACTGGTTTGGGCGTGGCATTCTTTGCCACCCCCATGGAAAATGCCGTCCAAGGCAAATGCCTTGTTTGCTTTGCGGCAGATACGCCCCTGCACCTGACCATCACATCCCCTCTTTGCAGCTATAACAACCTCCACTCTTCTGCAGAGGTTTTCCACAAGATTTCAGAGTGCGTCTGTGGGAATTTGTACCTATTCAGCCAAAAGAGGATTTGTGAGGTCAGGTACTGATGTTGCGCGAGAAGACCTGGATCACAAGCTGCGTTCAAATTCATCCCAAAGGTGTTCAATAGTGTTAAAACATAAAGTAATAAAGTTGTGTTTACAAGCTCTTAAAGGGAACTTATCTGGAAGGTTATTCTGTGATACACCCATTCCTCCCATTCACCGATGACGGTGATTGTGTGAATAGAAGAGTTGAAGTTTCTAAGAGGCCACTTGGTTTATGGCACAAGCACAAGTCCGGGAAAGTTTTAATGAGCTTCCATAACCCTCAGGAGCTTATTAAAGCCCATTGCACCCTTGAGAACTACCAAAACCACCTTCATTTTGCCAGAATGGCAACATTGTATCTTTTATCTCCTGATTTTCAGCAATATTCCAGGGAAAGGAAAACTTTCACTCACTGTAGCCTTGTAAGAGGCCCTTACATTCTACTTGAGTAAGGATTCCCCAGTGTTGAGCCTTAAGGTACCCATACACCTTACAACCATGGCAAGACTTTAGTCTTGCCATGGTTGTAAGCTAATTAAAAGCTCGTACGATCTGCCCATCTTGGACAGGCGGATCGTACTTGCGATCATCGCAAGCCCGCCCCCCTGAGGGGCGGGCTTCCGATGACTGCAGCGAGGGGCGGGCTTCCGATCACTGCAAACGGGCAGTGTGCGTGTGCGTGTGCGCATACCGGCCCGTTCGGCAGTTGTCGAACAAGCAGGCCACTAACCTGCCAAGAATCGTACGATTCTCGGCGGGTTTTCAAGCCTGCTTGTTCGACGGAAGACGTGCGACCGCACAGTAGAAACCATGTGTGGAGGCATCTGCAGTCACTTCGGCACCCACCCGTCCTTGGGTTTTCCGGTCAGGAGTGCGATGGCATCTACTATGTATTGAGTCCCGGAGATCTTAGACACAAGTGGGCAACTCAAGGAACCAATGCACAAAACAATGCATGAAACTGAAATGTCGTTTTTGGGTGATGGTCTTCAAGATACAATCAGATCATCCTTCATCGTCCCTTCTCATGTACCTATTTCTGTCCATCTCTTCCAGAGGGTCTCCTTATCTATTGATCTTCTCCTTTCCCTATCTCTCTCTCTCTCTCTCATGTAACATGATCTATGAATCTCTATGTACGTGTCCCATGATCGCTGCCTTGCATGTTTCTTTCCTTTTTTTGTCTCTTTTTCAACTCTTCCCACTTCTGGAGAGCACCGTCTTTGGAACAATCTTGTGCTGTTTTTTCACCATGCTTTAAATATAATAAAATATATCACACTTCAAAGTTTTCATCCAGAGAAAAACAACCCAGTCCATTTTTGCTTCAGTGCATTGTGATTTTTTTTATTTTTTTTAAAGTCTTCTCAACTTTTGGGAGGACGGAAACAAAGATGGGAGTGTTAGTCAATGAGATGCCGTTATTCAGAGCTATGTGTCAAAGTGAAATTGAGCATTTTCATTCAACATCTAGAGAAGAGATGCTCTGTGAATGAAAGGAAAGGGTGTGGTTAGCCATTGGAGTGTCTGGTTTGATTGATTGCCCCAGTTTGCAACTTATTCTAGGAGCAGTTTCCTTCTATGCATAGAGGGTATACTTTGGAGACCCCTGACCAGTGCTGTATTTTGATTTTGTGCTGCCCTAGGCAAGACTAGATTCAGGCACCCCTCCCCAATCTAAATTTGCCCCAGCATTTCCTGCTTGTTCGACGGAAGACGTGCGACCGCACAGTAGAAACGGTCGCACGCCTTCCATACACTTTACGATTATCCCGCGATTCTCGTATGATAATCGTACAGTGTATGGGCACCTTTAGAAGACTCTATATACATTAGAGATCCGCTAGGACGTCCTTTTGCATTTTCCTTGTTTTTGGTTCCAGCCATTCTGTAGACTTCTGCTACCAACCCTGCGCCCATGTTTTGCATCCTCCATAATGGGACGCAAATCCTCCTAACAAGCTGACAAGGGTGGTGTCTGAGAGGACCTGTCATTACAGCGTGAACATGTGAGGAACAGGTGTGGAAATGCTTCATATCGCTTTAACTGTATCACTTCCTGTAGGTGCCAATTAAAACCTTGTGCTGCGATGCCAAAAATAACACCGACGCCACATCATGTGTGCTGCGAAAAAGGTGGAATTTTCAGTTATGTAACTGCAGCAATTATGATATATATCTCTGAAAGGTCAGGCTCAGCTATGCGGCGGCAAGTCCACTGATCACACTAGTGACAAGGATCCACTGTAAGATGAATACACTATATATATAT